ATGAGCAGCCTCAGAGACAAGGAAGACAATCTGCTAAGCAGGCAACACAAAGAAGTTTTGGAGTCTAGCAAGCACCAGAGGGTGCACAAGAGTTTGCGATGAGACAGTGAGACAGGAGGAAGGTCCACAGAGCCGCTCATGACTCCAGCAGTAATGGAGATCAGACATGGAGCCCCTGGCGGCGCTTATGACACGTTATGATGAGCATATGAGCAGACGCGTCATTACCGCTTCATTATAGACCCTCCCGCGCGCGCACACTTCTCCATCACCGAGGAGCAGTCATTACTCTGCGCTCATGTGCTGGAGATCGGCTCCATAAACACACACTCATGGTGGCATTGCTAAATACGTTGTAAGAACGTTTCTCCAACGTTCCTGTAAACATTAAAGGGACAGTTCACCTCAAACTAATTATAATTTACTCACTCTAGTCTCAAACACGTCTGAGTTTCTTCTGTTGAACACAAAGGATGATATATTGAAGAAACCAGTAGCCATTGACTTCCATTGTTTTTCCTACTATTGAAGTCAATGGTTACCGGTTTTAAAATGTGTATTTTTGTTTGTTCAATAGAAAAAGGAAACTCATAAAGGTGTTGAAGCACTCTTGAGGGAGTTAAAAGAACATGCAGTTTCATCTTTATATTTAAAATTAAACAAATAAAAGCTCAGAATAATAAAACTGCTGGCGGTTCATTCTGCAGTGGCGACCCCTGATAAATAAAAGGACTAAGCTGAAGGAATGAATAAAACCTTCTGTGATGTAAAATAAAAATTTTGGTGACATTTAATAGTCTAATAAAGGCCAGATCATTCTGAATTATCTTGTCCAGTTCTGAGAACAGCTCATGAGGTGCTGCAGATCGGCTTCATAAACATGGTGGCAGTTCCGCTGCTTGATAAATACGTTGTAATAATGTTTCTCCAACGTTCCTGTAAACATTAAAGGGACAGTTCACTTAAAACTAAATATGATCTACTCACTCTATAGTCTCAAACTCTGAGTTTTTTCTGTTAAACACAAAGGATGATATATTGAAGAAACCGGTAACTATTGACTTCCATTGTTTTTCCTACTATTGAAGTCAATAGTTACCAGTTTTAAATTTTTGTGTGAATAATAGAAAAAGGAAACTCATTAAGCATTTATGAAAGGATTAATGTGAGTATAAAGACAAATCCCATTTATCTTTTTGTGTTATGGAAACTGCACTGTAAACTGTTCTCTGAATTTCCTGAAGTGAGTAAAATATAAAAATCTCTGCGCTTATGACACGTTTTGATGAGCAGACGCATCATTACTGCTTCATTATACCTCCTATGCTGCAGTTGTCCATCACCGAGGATCATTCATTACTCTGCACTCATGTGCTGCAGATCGGCTCCATAAACACACACTCATGACGGCATTGCTAAATACGTTGTAATAATGTTTCTCTAACGTTGCTGTGAACATTAAAGGGACAGTTTAGTCACAACATTTTTTGTCCTCATTCACTCACTCGTCTCAAATCGGTAACTATTGACTTCCATTGTTTTTCCAAGTAAAGTCAATGGTTACCGGTTTCAAAATGTGTGTTATTTTTTACAGATTAAGCTTTATTATTATTCAACTGTTCCTTTAAAATAACTAAATATCAGAGGAATAAAACCTTCTGTGATGTAAAAATGACATTTCTGTGCCGACATTTTTAAAATCTTATCAAAGCCTGATAATTCTGAATTAATGGAATCATTTGCACCTTCTGTGTGAGTCTGGTTTTTGCTGTAAAATAAGAATATCTTCCTGTAGTATATTGCTTGTTTTAAAGAAAAACTCACTTAATTTCAACTCATTATTTCTGAAAACCGGCAGGACGAGGACTCAGTGGTGTCGCACTGTGGCCTCATATCAAGAAGGTCACTGGTTCGAGTCCCGGCTGGGTCAGTTGGTGTTTCTGTGTGGAGTTTGCATCAACTAAATTGGCCGTAGTGTATGAGTGAGTGTGTGTGTGTGTGTGTGTGTGTGTGTGTTTGTGTGTGTGTGTGTGAGAATGAGTGTGTATGGGTGTTTCCCAGTACTGGGTTGCAGCTGGAAGGGCATCCGCTGTGTAAAACATCTGCTGGAACAGTTGGCGGTTCATTCCGCTGTGGTGACCCCTGACGAATAAAGAGATTAAGCTGAAGGAAAGTGAATAAATGAATGATTGATTTCTTGAAACTAGACGATATGTATTACTTGTCAAAATGCTCCTTGATTTAAGAATCTTTAGATATTTGGACTAGAAACCTAATTTGGATTTCATATAATACCAGCATGCAAAAGCTAAGAAGAAGATAAAGATATCAAGTTGCAGCATTGGATTAATACAAGTAATAATGCCTTAGAAAAACTGTTTAAGGTTGTTCAAACACGTTCAAGCATTCATTCATTCATTCATTCATTCATTCACTCATTTATTAATTAATTAATTAATTTATTTATTTATGTATTTATTTATTTATTTATTATATTTAT